ATGTAAGGTTTAACTTTTAGATTTAGGATTTAATAGGCCTATTTAAATGCATTTTTAACATTCAAATTGACCATTTAGTAAAAATTAGCTAATGTAAGAACAGTGAGCTAAATAATGAAAAACATGTTGATGATATTTTTAACTGACATTTAGACCTCATTACTTTACTTTTTACTACTTTTTAAGCTGTGGTTAAAAAAATAATTCAACACAAATTACTAAAGTAAACAGACGGAAGGAAAAATAAAAGGAAAAACACCACTGTAAAGAAAAGGAAATCGAATGTGGGCCTCATATTTTAATAAATTTATTCAACATTTTAATCAATATGTTCAATTTCACTTTGTTTGTATTTGTTTTAGATGAGCACATTCTGTAAAATAAGTCTGATTTGAAAYCAAACAGTTAAGTCTTTATTTTCTTCTCCAAACCTGTTTGTGTAAAGATCTGCAGCATTTCCCTGTAAGTAAATTAATCATGAATCCATTCAAAAACAAAACGAACTCTTCAGTTTGACAACTGAACTCAGGGACATGTCTGCAGAAAGACCAAACCACTGCTTGTGATTCACCTGCACCTGTTCCCGCCACTCTTCAGCTCCTCTAAGTTTTACTTTCAACAACTAAAACTAACTGTTGTAAAAACTTYATTTTCTTACCAAAGCTGCGACAGAAGCCTGTTTCTCTGTGGATTTATAATCCGGTAAACTCATCGTGTTGAGTCCAGGAACAGCCGAACAGGTAGGAGCAGGTGGGCGTGGCCTAACCCGGACCTGACATGCTATTGGCTCTGAGAAGTTGCCTCACTCCGCAGCGTTTTCCCTCAACTTACTCGTTAGTTTTGCATATTAAAGGACAAATCTGAACTTTTTATTAGTTTTATAAAAGTTTTATGGCAGACAAAAATATATATTTGAATCTGTGTTAAWGCAGTGAACTGCAGGTAAAGAATCAATGAATTTTACTTTTAATCCCTCAGGTTTATAATCCCGCTCTCAGGCACTTTTGTTACAAACATGCTGCTGCAGAAAGTGTCAACTCCCCTTTAAGATGAAGATTTATATAAAACAGAAACAACAACAATAAATGTATTTTCCAGATTTTATTGTTTTTGTACACAAAATCACAGGTTCTTCAGTCCATCCAGTAGAACAGCTGAGAACCTGAGGAAATAAAAACACTCAGTTAAACAGTTTCTATTCATTTCAAATCTAAAATGTTTTTTTTATTAGCAGATCTGATCAGATTTCTTTCAGTCGACTCGACCCWTCTCAGACAAATGCCTCRATGTCTTCAACTGAAAAGGCCCCACTGTTCTGATGAACCGGAGCAGAACCACAGAACGTGGACCTGAACCGGTGAAACACCAGGACCAGATGAAGACCTGTTCCGACTCGTCATCGTGTCATCACTGAAGGGCTCCAGAAACCACGACTGGACTTTGAATTTATTTTCTGACCCAATAATAATACAGTGAGTGGTGGTCTCACCCTTTATGCGGTGGGTACAGGTGCACCCTGGGGCATGACGGGCACCTCTGGCTTGGCCCCCTTCTGCTCAGAAATGGGTGTGGTGGGCAGGTTCTCCTCCTTCGGTTCCACGATGCTGACATGGTCAGGCAGGGGCTTCTTGGGGCCGATCTTCCCGCTGGGGTCCCAGGGCAGCATGATCTTCACCTTGATGCCCAGCACACCTGAGAACGACCCGACAGGCTGGTGAGTATCAGCGGAGGCCTCGGAGCGTGTGGCGGCGAGCAGTACTCACCCTGCCTCAGCAGGACGTGGCGGACAGCTGTGTCCACGTAGTAGTTGACGGGGTCTCCGCTGTGGATCATCAGCCCGTCCACGAACTTCATGGACTTGGCCCTCTGACCCCTCAACTTGCCAGAAACCACCACCTCGCAGCCCTTGGCACCGCTCTCCATGATGAACCTCAGAACACCGTAGCAGGCCCTGAAAGAGACGAGGAGCTGAATCACTGARGACAAATGGATCATGATGCAGGAAACTCAGACTTCAGCTCTGACTTCTTTACATTTAATAAAACCTATCAACGTTAGCTGGAACGCTAACTCCAGTAGCTTTTCTTCTTAAAAAGGGATCCAGGATTAGTTGTAACATCAGACTTTATTTAATAAACATTTATTTTAACTGTGAAACAAAGACTGTAAAAATACTGTAGGATGTTTAGTTTTTATAATCTTTAAACTAAAATTTTAAAAAGATATTACACGGACGGGGCCATTTTATTTCCACACAAAGCATTCTGGGTAAATGATGACGTGGATAGGT